GGTCAGATAAGTGGAGTTTCCAAAGAGAGGTAAGAGAAGGGAGGATCAAAAATATATTGGAATAAATAATGGCCAACAATATACAAATTTGTTGAAAAGTATATATTCACAGATGCAAGAAGTACAAACCCTAAGCACAAGAAATATGAAGAAAACTATAACCAAAGGAAAATTGCTCAAAACAAATAATAAAGAGAAAAAATTTAAAACAATGAGAAAAAAAAAAACCAGACAGCATATATAAAGGAACAAAAATAAGGGTGACAGCAGATTTCTTACTGGAAATATTGCAAACAAGGAGACAGTGGAGTATATAAGGAAAAAAAAAGAAACTGGCAACCTAGAATTCTATATCCAGAAAAGAAATCCTAAAAATGCAAGTGAAATAAAGAATTTTTCAAACATTCAGAAGCTGAAAGAATTCATCACTCACGGACCTGCACTACAAGAAACATTAAACATTAGGCAACAGGAAAATCACTCCAGATGGAAATTTATATCTACACAAACAATTAAGAGCAACAGAAATGGTAACTACATGGATAAACATGTAAGATTTTGTTTTTATTATTCAAGTTCCTTTAAAAGCTAAGAGGCTATTTAAACAAATATGCAAATAGAAAGAAAAATGTTCAAACTGAGTAAAAGTCATGAGCAACAATACAGATGATACAAAAGACATGTGGTAGAAAATGACCCAATGATTCATGACCAGAATGATTCTTTACATGGAGCAAACAGTCTGTGTAAAAGAGTAAAAGATAAAGCCAAAGGTAGGAGAGGACCACACTGGAGAGGACCTTGTCTTAAAGGCTATCTGAACTAAAATTATGGTTTTTTCATTGACAGTGGCATGAATCAAGTGTTTTCATTTTATTTCCTAAGATTAATTTGCCAGCAGACTACTGGGTGGATTAGAAGGTAGAAATAGAAGACAGAGATACCAATAAAGATAGGGCTATATTTTTTCACACCTCAGCTAAGTTAGAGTGATACACTGCAAAGAAAAAAGGAAGGGCAGGAGTACCTAATGAGAAGGACTTAGTAATGACTTGTACAGAGGGTTCATGGGGGAAGGTAGTATAATAAAAACAGTCATGTTTCCCCTCTAACAACTCTTTCTTTCAAAATTCCAGAATAAATCATCCACAGGGAAAAAAGAAACTCTCTGATGGTTTTATCAAGATTTTAGAAAAGTATCATTTTTTATGTTATTGGTTATCCATGCTTTTTATATATTTTTAATAGACATAAATATACATTAATTCATCATTCTCTGCTATATGCTGTTAGATAAAATTTTTAAAATGAACAAATGCATATTCATGAAGTAAATGCAAAAACAGGAATATTTTCCGAAACTTGGAGGGACAGAGAATAAATAAAAAGAAAAAAAATAACAGAACAAAGTACATTGACAAGACTTTAGACACTAATTTCTAATAATATTTGGTGAGCACTCTTGGTGTTCGCATTTGTACAAGAACGCCTAATAACTGTCCCTATAGAAATAGGTATATGACGTGAGAATCACTTTTGTTATGTAGTAAAGATGATAAAAATGGGCAGATGAGAATGAGTTTGGTAATGAAGAACATCTTGTAACATCAATCATCACTTAACACATGCTACTGTTGCCCAAATAGACAGGATTTTGACCTTGTCCAAGGCCTGTGGCAAAGACAATACATGCCTATTGGGAACACGGAATGCCAAGAACGAGAGAGCTGATCACATAAACAGCTGCAGGAAGGAGCAGTCACCATCTAGGTCAGTGGCCCCCCTTCAGTAAGTTTGTAAGTGGGAGTCCTGAGTTGCAACTGGCCACAGCTTGCAGCTAGTTGTTTGACTGATTTTCTAAATACCCAGGAATGTGGCCTCTACATCACTATTAATTACTATTGTGTGTGTGTGTGTGTGTGTGTGTGTGTGTGTGTGTGTGTGTGTAAAGATTCTGGACCTCTATCTCTCTAATTAAATTTTATATTACTAGCTTTAAATTCATTTCATTAGGAAATAAATAATGAAGATAAAACTACCCATTTGAAGAGAAAAATCGAAAGAAAATGCTGCATAAAAGTATAAAGAAAAGACATTTTTAAGTGTTTACAAGCTAGAAACATCAGTACAATTCAACTGCAAACACAGAAAATTATATGATGTGCATGAGTAGTTTTAGTGTAATATGACTTCATTTGTAAAAATACAAAAAAGCATTCCCAAAACACTAAAAAGAGGGATAAAGTATCTCCTCAGAGTTTAAATACATTTCATCCATCAAACCTTGGCTGAATCTGATTTATTTAGCTTCATTATTTATTTATTTAATAAATAAATAAATTTAATAAATAAATAATGTCAATACCTTCAGGATGTGCCTTACTGACTCCCAGGGGAACTTTATATCACTAGCTAAAGCCTGAATAGCAAGAAGGAAAAGAGAATATATACTGCCTATTAAGGTTGAAATCCAAAATAAATTCTGCTTCTCTATTCTTATTTCGATTTAAGACTGTCACATTAACTGACCGTTTACCAGAAAGCCTCCTGAAGGTCAGAATTGTGAATTTTCAATATTATATATTTTTCAATCTAAAGTGGGCTTAATTATACTAAACTAATTGTAAGAACAACATCCTCCAGTATACCTATAGTTAGGGGCCATTTGCCATTTCCTTCCGGGGAAATTACTGTAAAAGCAACTCTGTCCTTCAGAAAGGTCGCATTTGTAAAACATATAAAATTTATAAAGTATTTGAAATATTCAAGCATCATTATTTAAGTACATATCTGAAAAACTCCGGAAAATTATACTAGTTTCTTCTACCATATTTATTTCATTTTTAAAAGTCCTAAAAGAGTTTACCATACTTTTGCATTTGAGATACAAAAATTGTTAATTTAATATTTAGTGTATTTTAACAGTCTCTTATGAAGGTCATTATTGCTATAAGAACTTTCTTTACTATTAATTCCCCAAAAAAATATTTCTGAATATACATACGGTCATATTCCCAAGTTCAACAAAGTAACAAGTTAAGCAGCAAGCTTCTTTAGTAACACACATGCATGTACACACACACAGAATCTTACATGTACACAAAATACACTTATACGCACTCACATTATGTCTATTACACACCAGGTTAATAGTATCTCATTTTAGTCTCCCAGAAACATTATAAAGTAGGAACTATTATTGTCATCATTTTACAGATAAAATTGAGGGACAAAAGTCCAGTGACTTGCTGTGGATTACAGTACTAGCAAGTTAAATTCAAAACAAACCAAGCAGTCTGACTCCAGAGCCCAAATCAAACTCTGTATAGTTTGTCAGGCGGACCAAACTAGCAAACCAAAAATGTGCTGTGCAGGAGACAGGATTTCACAAAAAGGACACAAAAGTAAGATTTTTATATATACAAACTTGCAGATGTAGTATGACAGCAATTCTGGTTTTAAAAACTCACAGCAATAAGAGTAGAAAAAAATATGCCAAAAGGTTAACATTTTACCCCTGAGCAACGTGATTGGGGGTCATCTTCTCTAATGCTTTTGTGCTTTTAAAATTTGACAAAAAACATGAATCTCTTACATAATCAGACAGGAAGAACAAAAGATCGACGCAAAAGCAAAGAAGCCTGACACTCCACGAACGCTCCATCTTGTCCAGACGGCCTGCGGGCCACCAGTTAAAACGAGGACTCTAAAAGAAAGCATCGTTGACAAGTGCAGCTACTTGTTCCAAAAAACACTTAGAAACCCCTACTGCACCACAGTGCAGGCAGAATGTACATATACTCTAACTTCTAAAAGGACTTTTTAAAACAAACAACTTCCTCCCCCCAAAAAATAAACACTGAAGAACAGGGAAACTAGTACAAATATTATATAGTAATACTAGACATGTAAACAAAGGTTTAATCACTGGTACATGATTACTTAAGATAGTAAAAGTAGAATCAAATGTGTTTTTAAAAGCCTAAACTAATAAACACGTTTAGTTATATGCTTAAAGACTTCCCAGGGAAAACCATGAGATTCTGTGTTTAACATCACAAATCATGGCCGGTACTTTTAAGGTAAGCATTACTTGTTCTATATTATGCACTTATACATAAAACTTCTGAAACTGGAAACTTTAAATGTTCTCTCTAGAACTAAAAACTTTCACTTCAATCACCTCCTATAATTAACTGTCCTGTATAGCTTTACTGTTGTTTAAATAAAAGAAAATTTTGCCCTTTCCCACAATTTCTGAATCTGAGACAAAAATGGTTTCTTCATCTTGATCACAGTTTACCTCATGAATTATACAGAAATCATGATTTTTTTGGCCTGTTATATGTAGTGTGTCCTAATATGTATATTATCTTCAATTACATTCCTTTAAAGGCTGGCCAACTACAAGTATTTACTGTAGCACAACAGATCAGAGGACACTGAAGTTTTCTTTGGTGATAATGAGAACAGTTAGAAAAAGGAGTGATCAAAAATAAATGTAGCCAACATGGATGCATCTTGAGATTATTATGCTAAGCGAAATAAGTCAGACAGAAAAAGTTGAGAACCGTATGCCTTCACTCATATGTGGGATATAAATCTGAAGGCAACAAAGGAACAAGACAAAGAAAGAAAGGAACAAAAACTCATAGACACAGACAACAATTTAGTGGTTACCAGAGGGTAAGGGAATTGGGGGGATGGTAGAAGAGGGTAAAGGGGATCAAATATATGGTGATGGAAGGAGAATTGACTCTGGGTGATGAGCACACAATGTGATATATAGATGTGTATTATAGAATTGTATGCTTGAAACTTATGTAGTTTTACTAACCATTGTCACCCCCAATAAATTTAATTTAAAATAATAAAACAAATGTACAACCTTGTTACATCCGAGGGCATTTTTCCTCACACTCGTATAAAAGATTTTTAATTTCTAGGAAATCAAATGTACCCATTTAATTTTTTATCTATCTCTTAACACTTGCTCTTACCAGTATCCATTTGCCACACGTACACAGAGCCATCTGAACACCCCACCACCAGGTAATCGTCAGAAGGCCTCCACTTGATCACTTGAATCGGGAAAAGGTGACGAGATGCCAGCATGATGCACTTTTTCTCTCGCAAACTTAGGAGTCCTACTGAGTGGTCACTGGCAACAGAGCAGACGCAGTGCTGCACTCTTGCCTGAAAAGAAGAATAAGCCTTAATTATATATAGATTAAACCAGAATGAAATGGACCCTATCCTCAACAACGTAAGCAAAAATTAATTATACATTCACTACTCCTGAAAACCAACCACAATATTAGGTTGTGTTGGAAAACTTGATCCTTTATATTGTACATAAAAAAACCCAGTTCAATCATCACAACACACACACATATACACACACACAGAGAGAAAGAGAAAAACCAACTATATTAATCCTAAATTAAGGGTGGGAAAGATGCTTTGAAAAATGTGCTGTTCAAATATGAAGATGACTTTACTACCATGATTGCTATACATGAGCAGGCAAAGCTGGAAAAAAATTGATCTGTTATTATGTGTTCTCTTTCCACAGTAGGAACTCTCCTTTGTTAGCTGCAAGAGCTGCTTTCTCTAGCGCTTCTTTCTGTTTGTGACTCTGGCATTTAGACCCATGCTCCTTGCTGCTCCTTTGCTCAAAAACAATACCCTCTCAGTCCCTCCGCCACCATCGTTTCTGAAGAGCTACAGATAGTCTGTATTATCTGTAGACGAGCTTCTCAGCTCCTGTCTATAATGTCAGCAGGCAGCCCACCTCTGCTAACACACAATAGCCAATTAAACATTCTGCTGTGTAGTTCCTGCTCAGCTCTAGTTTCTGCCCTTCAATTCCCTCTTAGAACAAGTGAAATATAAACAATCGAAGACGGTAAAGATTTTCACTAGCAACCGGGAACACAACCCATGACCTAGAAATTATTAAAAAATTCAAGTCTTTACATTTTTGAGACAATGCACAGGCAATTTAAAACTTAACTTTTCAGTGACCTACTGGATTATGCTTTCAGTCCATACTAAGGTGAAACCATGTGAAAACAGCCATCTGAAACTCATGATGGTATAAACTGTGGCGATGCATTGAGGATGAGGCCCACGGCATTCATATACAGCATCCCTTCTACTGGACCCAAGGGGAAACCTCTCCAACCTCACTCCGCTGGGCTGCGCTGCAGCAAACAGACTGTTCTTAGCTAAATAACATCTCACTGATCCGTGTAAGTGTTTATCACTGAATGGGAAGTGTTGACAGGTATCAGATGAAAAAGGATCGTGGCCAAATGTGCAAGGGAAGCAGAAGTTACAGCTGTGGTTTTTATCCGAACTTCCAAGAACATTTAACATGCTGATGTGAATATAAGCATCTCACAAGGGGAGGCAATATCACTCATCTGTTCATTCATGACCAAGGTAATCTTATAAGACCTAGTTTCTGAGGAACCCACTTTGGGGAAAGCAGCTCTAGTTGGTGCCTTTTATTTTTTGGCTACTAAGAAACGCAGGACTGAATTGTCTGTTCATAACAAAAACTTGTCCTCGACATAGTCTCTCAGTGGGCTGGTCTACTTTCCTCTCTCATTTTTTCTCCATGATTTAGATTTATTTTTATCTTAGCAAATAATGTTTATTTTTTATACAGTTTTTGAATAAAGCAGGGCATTAATAAAACAAAGTACAATTTAACTATTTACTTTGTTCTTAAATTCAGGTGTTTTATTCTTTTATTCTGTGTTAGCGTTATTTGTACTTTTTGTTTTGTAAATGAGTTAAACACTATAATAAACATAGCAGGTGTTAACTCATTTTAATTTTAAAAGTTAGGACTAAGTTCAGAAAGATCATGTTAAAAATGTTTATGAAAACATCATATCAAAGTTTCTTTTTTTATTAGATTTTTCTTTTTTATTGGGGAATTGG